CCAAAATTTACCTCGGAACTTATTCAGTTAAAACTCAGCATTGTGAGCCTAGTTCAAAATATCAAAAACCTAAGACTATAATGCTTCAATCACTATTTGGCGCCATGGCTGACTGCAACACCAAGCCGCTCGAACACCTAGTGCTGAGGCGCTCCAATAGTAACATTTTAAAATTTTGTCAAAATTTACACAAGACACTTGAGACTCATTTTAGAACACACACAATCATTTTTATGCATCAAAACACTCTTAAAGACATACAAATGGATTCAAAACTCAAAATTCAAATATTTATCTTTGTCACAACTTAACTCGATTAGAGCATATCCTATCATGTTGAACTATAACTGGCAAACCCCAATATCTAATTTTGGAATATTTCATATTATCTTTCAATATTCATTTTTTTTTATATAAACTATAGATTATTGAGCTACTTAACATCCATATACTGAAAAAAAAATCATCAACGATATTTATTTTATTTTATCCAAATATATAAACACTATAATACATGGATACAAATAAAAACTACATAACTGAAGAATAAATTAGCCATGTTTGTAAACAAATCAAAAAATAAATACCTGTAAACTTAGATCTGATCTTAATCTGCTAAATAACAGTTTCATTCTCCTTCCCATAACCTAAAAATCAGAAGAAAAATCATAATGAGTTACAACAGCTCAGTAGGCCACACAATCTGATCCAAATTTTCTAATTATGTTATTAACATTTTTGTTAAATATTTAAAAGTAGATAAATGTAATCTAATAGATCATTGTACTAAGAAATATTATAAGAGCATAGTAATTATTCAATTATTTAAATGATATTACTGAGAAGATAAATAAATTATAATTCATATCATAGAACAATTCATATCATATTTCTCGGATCTAGACATAATCCTAAAGGATTCTGACCATTTATGACTCCTTTTTTACTTCTCACACTAGAACACATTAGTAGGCATCAGAACATGGCTTTTGACCACCAGAATATGCCTTATATGCACTAGAATATTCTTTGATACGGACAAAATCTCAATAGACACCTAATAGTCTCAAAAATCTCTCTTGTACCGACAAGTGTTAATTTCTTAAGGAATTTCACCTATACCTAAAAATTATAAAAAAAATAGTGAAACTAAAGCATAATATTATATATATTATGAATATAGTTTGTGATTTGAACTTATACTAACTCCTGAAATAATTTTTGACTATCGTAGATTAAAAAACATTGTTTAAAAAATTAGGAATTTTCAAAACCTTTTCTAATCGAGTCAACTGATCTTAACTGAAATTTGATCATGTCATGTCCATGAAAAGTCAATCCTTGTCTTAAAAGAAAGCATATGCAATCAATAAAAGTATTCAGTCACATATGATATTCAGTCACATATGATCTGAATATATGATGGAAGATTTTCTACATTTACTTTCATATTTTTTGGCAAATCTACCTCTACTCAATGTATTTTCCATTTGCTCTTCATATTTTTTGTTAATCACACCGTAGATTTTGATGCATTTGAGATTGATGACCTCTTAAAATGTATCTCCATAGACGTTCAAACCTATAACTTCAGATGCACATTCAGCTGAAGTCAAACTACCCATAAAATCACTCATAAACGCTTTCTGCAGCATCCAAACACCCAATTCAATATTGAAATCTCATTCTCAAAAGCTACCATCATAACATTCAAGATACGCAACAGAATAGAAAATGCAATCTCTTTCAGGATTACAAACATAGAAATAAAACTGAGACTCCCTTGAGGAATTCAAACCATTAAGCATTCCAAAAAATTCATGAATAAAACTTGCGACTAATGGAATAAGAGAGATTTGAAAAATCTGTAATTGATTAGCGTAGCTTAAAAAACAAAAGAGATTTGAAAACACATTAAAAAAAATGCTTATTTGAGACATAGATTCAAATATTGGCTTGGTTACCTTGAGATGAAGGGGATTGTGTCACCAGAGATTCACAAATGTTAGAGCACGATCAAGCGAAACAGAAGAATCACGAACAAATCTTCCTCAAATCGGCGTCGAGCAGAGCAAAACAAATCGGTAGACTAACGAATCACGAGAGAACATAGAAATTAGGACTTAGTGTCGAGCGGAGCAGATGAATTATGAGAGCAACACATGAAATAAGACCTTTTTTTTAACAGCTCGCAAAAACGAGACAGCAGATCTTTCTAAATTTCGGAGTGGAGCACGCGCTTCCGCAGAACCCATAGCTATATACCCACTATCTTCATCATCCTCACCATTGATATGTTCTTTTCTTTTAATGCATTATCATTTACACCCAACCAACACAAAATATGATTTTTATGACTTCATTTTATAATCAACATCACCACCTCATAAATCATAAATCATAATGTAGTGTATCTAATCTACATTGCAATCAACCCATAGCAAGCTCAACAAAAATGATATCACTTTGACACCTTTGTCGTCATCTTATTAGTGAATTCGAGAACAAAACTATGGTAGTACATGAAAGGATCGGTGGCCAAGTGGTTGGAGAAAATTATTTCCCTAAGATCACAGATTTAAACCACAATCATGCACTAAAATATAAATTAGATAAAGCTCACGGTCTAACAATGCCAGCAAGTTTAATTGATAAAGAACTTTAAAACTTATTAATGTCAAAGTCAAATCAAATGCCGCCTACACTAAATTTGTTCTCAACATTCTGAAAATACAAAAAAAAAAAAAAAAAACATTTTAAAAAAAAAAAAAAAAAAAAAAAAGAATATCAGATATCTCAAATAATGGCATCAATGGGCCAAGGAGTGCATATTCCCCGCAGGCTTAAGAATGAGCAACACATTTTTAATCTAGTACCAAATAATTTCTTTCATAGAAACCTGTTATTTGGTCAGCAACAGTCCACATTATAGCTTGTCCAGGTGGAATCCTCATTAATCTAGGAAGCAAACCTTTCCAAAGTGCAAGTACTCCCTCTTCAACATATATAGTTCTAATTGCATGGATCATTCCCTTATATTTCAATTCGCCATCAGACTTACTTTGAGCCATTAGTCTTGTTTTCACAACATCAAAAGGACCTGTACAGATAGGACCACAAGTTCCTGCTAAGAAACCTGAAATCATAGACTGCCATGGCTGGAGAACCTTCCCATCTCCTTCGTGTTTCTTCCAGAGAATAACGTCGAAAGCATTTTTGGCTGTGAACATGGCTGCTTGGTTTGTTCCATTACGCATTACAGTTGGTGCTGCTCCAGCCCACAGACCAAAAAAGCCTTCTTCATGAATAATTGTTCTCGCACAATGAATTGGCCCTTTGTACTTTAAAAGCTCTGGGCTTAATCCTCGTTGCTGTTGTAATCTGATCTTAACGACCTGTATTTCTACTTTATCAGTCTATTATAATAGTTTTAATTTCTGTTCCAGCAAATGTAATTGTAATTTCTGATAAACAAGCAAAAAGAAAAAGGCTATGTGTATCCATTGTTTTGAAAACAGGACTGGAGTGGCCTATTGAACTAGAAAACACTAGTTCAATCCAGTGATTTGACTGCCAAACCTAAGAACTAGCCAATTTAAATTACATAATTAAAAATT